GATGGACTAACGGCATGGAGGCTGTGCGAGCAATCAAAGATGTCGCACTAGCACAAGGAAGTGTGCAATCGTCATCAACAGAGGGGGGAAGTTTCGTTTATTACAGTATGACAGTGCAAATATTGGTTGTGAGTGGCACGTTCGTCTAGCACGATTTCGATCCAAGAATCACCCCAGGAGACTAGCATGTGACGGGAGGCAACCTTATAAAGGCGAGGAAGCCATACAAGTGCACCCACTGTGGGGTGCTCGGCCACAACAGGGCAACATGCCGATTAACAGCTTAGGTCAAATTGTCGATCAGCATTTTTCCACTCGAGAACAGCACATCGGTTACATGCACCATTGACATCCATGTACACATGCATCGTTTGAAGGATGTCACCAAATATCAATATCTGTATCGCTGTAGCATCAGTATCTGATGTGACCTCGTTTAGTGACTAGTTTGGACTGGATTTACCTGACTTTGAGACTGTGAATCTGAGCGTTAGCGGCCTAGTTCCGAGTTGCGAGGTTGTGGTATGGGTAGCTACATAATGTGGTAATCTGCTTGTGAATTATGGAGGACAAATGACCCACTCCATTTTTTGCTGCATGTGCAGATAGACTCTGCTGTCGAATTTCCCCGTATTTTTCATAACAATGGTGTTTTGAACACAACCGTATCACATCTCGCGAATATATTCTATTTGTATCACCCTTTGCAATAAACCCAAAACAAATAGGCCTAAACAAGCACTCGCTTAGGTTCGCATTCTGAATTGTTAAAAAACAGATCAACATTTCTCCGAGTCATCTGATGCATTAGGTCATTAGGCGGCTCTCGCGTATAGACTCACGTGTTATTGCCGAGATTCCGCTTTGAAGAATGGACCGGAAGGTGAAAAATCCTAACTTTGCATGATATATTTGCTGTGATGTCAAGAGGGTCGATTCCTCTACTTAATGCGACCGGACCCCCATCCGACAACATCTTACCCCGAACAATTGATCACCTACTGCTAGCAACGAAAATTGAGTTTGATCAACTCTTTGACACCACAGCAAATGACTTCTACATCTGTGTCCTGATAGAGCTTGTCTCAATGCTGCACGAATCTCCTCAATTAAGACATCTTGCAATCGTCGGATTTGGTCATTGTTGTCAACAATACACTGCTGCACTTCGTCGCGGAGGATTGACGTATTCAAAGTCGTGCAAAACAGATAGCTTTGCAGTAGCTCGAACTTGTCGAATTCATCGGAATCACAGTTGACTTCAATGATGTCGCGAAAGCTCAAGCAATATCGGATTCGTGAAACAACTTCTTTCACGCTCCGATTGGAGATCTCACTTCAGACAATATTACAAGGCTAATTGCGTCAAGACTTTGGTGAGGATTGCAGAAAGCCACTCCCGCGGCGCCGCATTTATATATTGCCACAGCGGTAAACAGCTGAATTCACATCTTTAAGTGGTCATGTCTCCTTAGTCAGCAAATATTTGCTCACTTTCATCAGCGCGGAATTTCCATGTTTGTTGCCTTCTTCTATGTTAGCATATTGGTGAGAAAGAGAACGACACGAATCCATTATCACCCAACGCTGACGCATGACCTGGTTGGTGCATTGTGCAAAATCAACGCCATCTCGTAGCCGGTTCGTCTCCAATCAATCGGCTCGAAAACCTTGTCGAGTCATTTGAAAGTCGGAACATCAATTCATGCGTTTTCTGTTGTATATACGGAATCGGTCAAATACTGCCTGCAACTTTAATATTGTTACGAGTAGCACAAGGCCAGTCTCAATAGCGTTGCATCAATTGACAAAGGTTATATGATCGTTAGCTTTCTCTTTTCGAGCGGAAAAAACGTCTAGTCCGGGTTATGACACAGTATATGAAGGACCAGCCGAAAAAGTAGTCTATTCATTCATGTTGTAGACGCAGGATTGGTCGATTACACTCTCTAGACTCTGTTGAGCTTTGACAATCCTGAGATGGGTTTTGCCAACATCATCACTTTCTTGAAGAAAAGCGCTATCAAGCACGAATTGATAAAGAATTAGGCACATAGCCCCACGAAGCTTTGACTGTTTTCTCAGATATTTCTAAGGCTGCGAGATTGCTATAGTCTATTGCAGAAAAGCTTGACGGCAGAGCTAGCGCCATACGACGGCCTGCTTTCATTTGATTAAGAGCGCTTTTTATGGGTGGTGGTAGCGGATGCTCAAAAAGTTGTCTCCTGGATGCTTGGTCCAATCATTTTGCTATTTTGCGATCTTCAAACTTCGTAGCTTACAGCATCTTTTTGTCTTATTGTCAACTCCAGATTGCCTTGATATAATTTGCATGGAGGGGAGCTTAGATTCCTCTAGAAGTGTTCGGATCGTAATCCGCAAAGTGTCGTTTGAACGATAGCATTGGCCTCACTTAACTGATCACTGCAAGCTCATTTTAAAAGAAGACGCGCAGTTTCCATAAAGTCGTATCCATTTATTGCTAGTTTCGCATCCGCACAACCGGTCTAAAATCTATAATTGCGGACATAAAAGCATGTTTACCCAACAGTTTACATGCGTTTGCGGCCTTTACTATGATAATAAACAGATACCTTATATTACTGACTGGTAGATGCGTTGTTTACATAAGCATGTATGGCGAGAAGGTGTGCCCGCGCCGAGAGTTGCCCATCGTAGCAGATATACCCAAGGAGTGGTTGAGCTATTGCAGCACATTCTTGATATACATGTACGAACACAACACCATAATACGTACCCTGTTACATTTTGCCCCACCACCATGTTGACCACATTTATTTGTATGGTCAAGTCATTGCACATAAATTAACGCTTAGCAAGCAGTGATGGCGTTTCGATTTCTAGTCCTCCACTTGTATCATCCAATGTCTGCTCCTACAAATCTCGGTCGCATCCGGAGTCTTTGCCCTAGCGAGCCTCCGCGGCTCCACAAAAGCGCGATTATCGCGGCCGACGGCTATCAACCGAGAGAGTTGTGGTCTTTTTGTATTCTATGTGTTACCTTGGGTCGCTTGGCATTACTCGCTTTTTACTAACGAAAGTAACCCAGCCTTGTTCCTAGCTGGAGGCTAGAATAATCATGGATATAGCAACTGCTGACTCGAGGTGTTTATCTTCTACCACGACATCGACGGCATGATTCGTACTTCGCATAAGCAAACGCTCTAGTCTCTATTCAGCTTTTAAAGCTGGCTTCAAACGCTAAAGGCTGAACTGACAGCGTGACTCTCTCACACAGTACACGAATTGGTTCAACTACCTCTGGTCTCATTCCCGGCGTTCAGCAATCAATCAGCGGTGATACGGAAACACATGACCGCTGCCACTCCGTCTGCAAGCGGTTTACTTGGGAATCGTTGGCCTGTGGGGTCAGATAGCACTCACGAATCGTTATTTAAGCGCTCTTATGTATATGATCAGACTCGCTCACAAAGGCGAGTAGTGACTTCACCACGGTATGGCGAGCAACGTTTGACAGATTGTATTTACAATCATGGTGGTTGGAGTGTCCTGACACCTAACTCAGTTGGAAACAGATGGAGAGCGCGCAATTTAGCAAAGGAAAGGCAAGCGTAGTGAGCAAGCTCTGAGAGAGCGTTATCCCAGCGATTGGTCATGACGTATGTTTCTAAAGATGCTGGGTCGCGACTTAACGAGTCGGGACGATCGTTCCAATGGGTATATCCGCGAGTTATCAAAGTGAGGATTGCTCTTGCACTCTACCAAGACCTACAGCTCTGGCTATTTCGCCAGCGAGCTCTTCGCTACTTATGGGATTGGTCGACCCTTTACTCATCGGACAGTGTCTTCAGAATACGAAACCCTAGCGGCTGGCACTCGCGAGCTCTCGGTGAGAAATCGACGCTTTCTAACTGGTTTCTCCTCGTGAGACCAACGCTGAAATTAGCCACGTTGTGAATGCGCTCTCTGAGCTGCGCCATTTTGGAGGGCTTTTAATAAATAAAGCGGATCTGAAACGGATCTCTACTGTAAAAGTAAAGATAGGTCAGCTTCAGAAATAGATGACCCAAATGGCTTATGAAAGCGGAATTGTGGTATCGCTTCAGCAAGCTCACGTAAAACACCTGATGTATTTGCTTTATCTTCGTGGCATGAAGAGTAAAGCTCAATTTTTTCTGACACTGGGCTAAAAGGGCTCTGCGTGACAGAGTTGCAGCTTGTCCATAAAGACTGCAGGCACTGCATGTGTAAGTAGATTTGCAGCTTTGATGATATTCTTCATATCTGTCTCATTCACCATATTATCTTGTTTTTCATTCATCTACCTCCGGTATCTACATGTCGCATCCACATACCCTGTCTTACAGTCGGCATATGATTCTCAATCCTATCGGAATAAATCTCGTGATTCTGCTACGAAGCGTGGTTGGGCTGATATCAGCGAGTCGAATGGTCAAGCTGGATGCCCAATCTATCAAACCATTTATATACAATGAGGTAAAGCGTGTTGAAGCTGGAACAGCGATATCTAGCGTAACCTTAATGTAAGGTAGTATTTCGCCTCGGAAACGCGGTCTCAACGCGCAAACACATCCTCTCTCATGATAAGTCTGACTAATCGTTAAACAATGGTCAGCGGTGGAAACTATCAATGGTATCTGGCATTATAAACAATGTTTGTCACTATAAAGCGCCAATTTCGATACGAACAATGACCACCGATAAGCTATGCTGGCAAAACCTTTGTCGAGGGACAGCTTGGCGCACAGAAGAAATGCCGTTACCCACGGAATTATCGCCGTCATATACAAAGTCCATAATACCGGTATCACTGGACGCCGCTTTAATAGATAGTGCATAAAGTCCACACAAATGGACTGCCAGACTGTACTCAGATGCCGACACAGTGATAGTGGCAGCACCCGTTGACAAATTATGCACTTGCGCACATTGGTGTTTAGCCATCAGCACATAACGCTCACTGAGCCATACGTCTATTTTCGTCCGAGGTGGCCACTCAAGAGTGGGATTGGATGTCTCGTACAATTATTCTTTAAGTTTATGTCCTTATCATACCGCACGTTGAGTGTAAAGCGGGTCAGTCTGATTAAAAATACCGGTCGTCATGGATCCTTAGAGTACAAAAAAATCGACAAAGCAACCGAAATTCTGTTTGGTCTGTAATGTAAATCAGCAAATGACGGGAGAGGGTAACGGCGCAAACACGCAGCTGAACGCATTGAAAAAACAACATCTAAGTCAACCAAAGCTTTTGGTATCATAACAATGCAACACATAATGAATACGACCCGTACGCTGTATTTATCGTCTCATTATTGTGCAATATCTCCATGTTAGTATGCAACAGGACGTCACGGCCGCCAACATAAAAACGAATGAGGCTCATGTACCTCGAAGATATTTCTGGCATAGAAGGAGCTTAATCTTGCCATTTCTACAATATAAATAGTGGCGGTGCTGCTATGCATAACAAATCAGAATCTGATAGGCTCAGAATGATTTCAAGCTGAGCAATCGGCAAGGGAATACATGATAGCAACAAGTTCATTACCATAAACTGGGTATACTTTCCTTGTCGTTTTAGAATAACAAGGCTTGAACACGATTCCACTATTTTGACGAATGACATCTGCTTGAAGTTAAGTAAGCACAGCCGCTGAACGTCACAGACGACATATATCGCCGATCTAGATTAGGTAGAGCCCGAACCAAGCACTTAGAAAGGTTTTCTCAGACACCCATCAAGCCCGTTTTATTTGTCGCACCTCGGCACGTTTAGTGTCTGTTTTTTTTGAGAAAAAGGTGGTGAGAGGAAGTTCCATATCGATGAATTGTGCTATATATTTGTGCAAGGAATCGACGAAGTGGAGCCACTTCCTTATATGAATCTGATACAGAGACACTAGTCAATACGCAATGGCCTTGATCCTTACGATATCTACCCGCTGAACATGCTATTCAAAACACGGTCCCAGCAAAGGTATTCCGCTGGCATCAAAGGCACACTAGTCTATACTGGTGAAAGACTAGCGCATACGCTTTAACCTTCGATGGAAATGCCCATATGCGATTTACTGTGTCCTGAACTGCTAATGACAAATAAATATTTCAGAAAGGGTTGTGCGTAGGCTCAATGTATCACCAGACGCTTCAAGTCTGTTGCAGCTAATTATCCCTGGGACAAGACCAGGCACTCTTAGATCATACACTCGTGGTTACCACAGCAGTGATGAGATTTCATTGTCCTGTAAGATACTTTACAGCATATCGACTAAGTCGAGAATTTCAGTACAGAGCACAACCAAATATTATTTTTAAAGCCCACCCTCTTTCAGCTATAGCTGCTTGTAGCTTGTGACAAGCATGCATAATTCGTTATCTGCAGATAGCCTTTCTTGCATTTTGTCGGCAACAAGTAAGGACATTTCATCTCGCGCACCAGCTCTACAATGTGCAACCCTCAGGAAAAGATGTCAATGACATCATACTGTTCACCGAAATAAGCCACTGTGAGGTCTGATCCCAAACCCCAGACCATTTTCATAGTGCAATATCAGATCCGGGGCAGCACGCGTAGTAATTCCCTGTCGCCATATCGTGATATTATTTGATTGAACACCAACGATTCGTAGAACATTTGGGTAAAGCATCAACATCTTGCATTTATTGCCAAACGAGTGTTTTCTATATCTGGCTCATGCGTGATGGGTGATGAGCGTATCTCCACCTCCGGTACCAACCGTACCATTGCGGTACCTTAAATCATCTTCCAACTCGTTGTCAAGCATTGCCGGAAAGCTCAATCAAAACTTCAGTCGGTGGTAATGATGAGGGACTCATGGCCCCGTGGACTAGACGGTAACTTAACTAATAAGTAGAACCATTCTTGCCATAAAACTCATGACGCACTACTATTCCGCACGACTCCATTGCTATCCCCATCAACACCGTCATATTGTAACAAAAATAAGGATCAATGATATCCTCAAGTCATAGCCTTCAAAATGCAAATTACAGACGCTTCATCCTGATTCAGAAGACTCGACAAACAATCGCGACCATTCATCCACACTTGCTCTAGTACTGTTGACTGCGACACACACAGGGCAGGTACCGGAAATTGACGCTATAACCTTGCCATATCGGTAATGTCACTTCTGACAAGGTACCGATCGTAGGCACTGATTATCGTGCACGGCCTGGATGCCTGGAGGTAGCCGAGAAGACGACTGTCGCTCCGTTTGGAGTACTGAGCGGAAGAGTATATTTGCCTTGGGATAAGGTTGTGGGTACTTTGGAGGTAGCAAATTGCGATCCGCTTCACTCGTACTGGTTCTAGTATTTGAACGAAGGTCGATGGCCTTAAGTAAGCTTCCTCTAAGCAAAGAGCTACGGCAGCCCCGCTGCACGCTCCAACTGGAGTATTGACGAAGTTATGGTCGTTTCACCTTCTGATACTGAGAGCGCGATTTACCCGTATCTGCCCTCAATGGTCTGCAACTTAAATAAACAGTTTCACGGCGAGAGCGCAAAGTTTTTACATCGACAACCGACTTTAGCGCTTTTGAGGTGTCGCACCAGAGCATTCTTATAGCTAATGAGCGCCTCCAGCCGAGCAATTGTCGCTAACTATCGTTGGACCGCAAGTTGCTCTCAATATCCGAAATAAATGCTAGAAATGAAATTACTAGGCGTGATAAGTTGTTCCGTGAACAGAGTATGGAAAAACTCGTCTATCATTCTCAAGTTGGATACATTCTATCAAGACTCTATTGTCGGATTGACGACTAGTGCTCCGATGTGCAACGGGGGGGGCGTGCACGTTATATAGACAAGCGTTCAGGTCAACGAGTCCCAGTGAATAAACTCACAGACGATGCACTCGCACGCTCCACTAAGTTAAAAAACCGAAAGCCTTTTTACTAACTTGGCACCTACTTTGCGCGCAGTTTCAAGATTGAAGTAACACAATAATTTGTAACACTTTGGGATACGGTGCAAGTAAATGCGGAAGCGTCGTCTAGGAGGTTTTCCTACCACGCTGAGTTATTACTTACAGGATAAATCAAACTGTTATCTAACAAAATGTATATCGCGAACTCCGTTCTGTACTTACGTTTATTGTTTTATAAAACAATAAACATTTCTGAAATGGTAATTTTACCTCAACTCGGGCGTTGTTTTTTCGATGAAGACGACGATTTTGACGAGCTACTGCGCTTCTTATTAGAAGTGGACGAGCTCGATGTCTTTCTGCGGCTACTGCTCTTACTCTTACTCTTGGAACTTGATGAGCTGCTCCTTTTTGCCTTTTTTGCAAGATCTTCTTCGTCTTTGGTGCTTTTACTCTTCAGCTCGTCGTTCTCACGCTCAATCATGCGTGTAAGTAGTTCACCGCGCTTTTGTAGCTCGCCAATAGTCCGCGACTTGAAGAACCAATTAAAACGGAACTGCCAGGCTTTACGAATTTCATCACGGATCTCACCCCAATGCTCCAACGGGCCATACTTGTTCATCATAACGACCAAAAATACATCCTCCTCTAATATATAGCCCTTGCTCTTGTATCCTGCAGGGTAATGTAATCGCATATCACGAAGTGGATGACTGTACCGACTACATTTACGCGCAAGAGCTTCTTTCACAACTTCGTTTCGCTCCAGACGCTTTTCACCTCGTTCGATCTTTTCGATATACTTGGCGTGATCCTTAAGTTCGGTAAAGCGCGACCAGAATGTATCATAATATCGCTCAACTTGCATACGATCTTTACCAAGAACTAGTGAGACTTCTTCGCACACGCGCGCTTTATCAGCACGACCGTAGCGCTCGCAGCTGGTGATAAACTGTTTCAGATCCCGTCGGGTCCAGTCACCAAAGCCCGCCTTTTCAAGTTCATCCAGCTCCTTTAAGTCAGTAGCGTCCATCTCCGTTTCATTCAGCTCCTTTTCGAGAGCAGCAGATCGTGTGTCGTCACCTTCTTCTTCTTCAGCTGAATCTTCCCCTTTAGCTTTTCTTGCTTTGATACGAGCCTCATCAGCTTTGGCTTCTTTGATTAGACGGGTCAGCTCCTTTCGTCGATTTTCGACAACTGTCTTTTTCGTCAGTAGAGCTACCATGCGCTCTTGCTGGAAAAACTGATAATCATGTACAACAGGTACCTTGGCTGCGTCCGATCCAGATTTCTTGGGTTTCTTCGGCTTCGACAACCCCGTTTGCTGTCGATAGTACTCGTCTTCATTATAATTCGACTTGCGTTCACGTTGGGGTAGAGCAATAAACGTAGATGGAAGAACATGACCGTTATTCGTGTCTTTCGAGAAAACTTCTCCTTCAAATTCATAAAGACTCGAGACACTGGCATTGCCATTGTCACCCGACAAGCTAAAGTTGGCCAAATTGTGCTGCATATCAGCCGCAATTTTGTCTTTCATCGTTTCCGTGCGTTCCTCTCCACGAGCCAATATAGCATCAATGTCGTCATCTGTGATCATAGATCCACGAGCATTGAAAATCTCGTCAGCACCAAAGCGTACCATTGTCATGAGCTCATCTTTAGAAAGTTTGCGATTTTGCTGCGCAAGACGTCCCTGCTGAATGATAGCAGCATCCAAATACAATTTGCGCTCCGCACGTTCCACGATCTTTTCTTCCACAGTGCCATCAGTGATAAATCGAAAGACTCGTACAGTTTTTGTCTGACCGATACGATGTGCACGATCCATTGCCTGAAGATCGACCTGCGGATTCCAATCCGAATCAAACAATATGACGATATCAGCCGTAGCCAAGTTTATTCCCAACCCTCCTGCTCGCGTACTCAGTAAGAAGCAAAACTTGGAGCTTCCAGGTTTATTAAACTCCTCCATCATACTATCACGATCTTCACCCTTAGTAGATCCATCCAAACGACAATAGTCGTGGCTAAAGTACCGCATGTAATCCTCTAAAATATCCATCATAGATGTCATTTGACAGAAAATTAATACACGCGAGCCTTGAGCTCGTAGTTTTGGCAAAAGCTTGTGCAATAGCGTCATTTTGCCACAATTCTCCCATAAATGGGGACCTTCCTGATATGGTGGACCAGGCTCAGCGCCTTCAAACAGATAAGGATGATTGCAAACTTTGCGTAGCTGCATAAGAATATTTAACAAGCGCACACGGTCACTCCCACCAATGGCATTTAAGTGCGTCGCATCACGGTGAAGTACGCGCATGTACCACTCGCGTTGCATTTCTGACAGACCAACATAGAGCTTGGTTTCAATTTTGGGAGGAAGCGAATGCTCGACATCAGCTTTAAGACGACGCAGTAGAAATGGTCGTAGAATCGTATGAAGTTTCTTAATCACATTCTCCTGTCCTTCTTGCTCGTCTACATTAAACCACGCGTCAAAGTCCTCAGAATCCGAAAATACGTCAGGCAGTAAGAAGTTTAAGAGTGCCCAGAGCTCATGCAAATTGTTCTGAAGTGGAGTTCCCGTAATCAACAAGCGGTGTTCAACTTGAAACTCTCGTACGACTCGCGAAAGTTTCGAATTCTCATTCTTTACACGATGTGCTTCGTCAATCAAGAGATACTTCCACTTAATTTTTTGTAACACTGCCTTTTCAATAATTGCTACTTCGTATGACAGCACTAAAGCGTCAAAATTCTGTTTTACAACCGCCTCTTTTTGAATAGCACGTTCATCTTTGCTACCCATAAATTTATGAGCTTTAATAGATGGACACCATCTCTTAAGTTCTCGCATCCAATTTCCAACAGTACTCTTTGGTACAATAATAATATGCGGTCCTTCAATACCTCTTGCTTCTCGTAAATACGCTAGTAGTGAAATACTTTGCAAGGTCTTTCCAAGTCCCATTTCATCAGCCAAGATGCCATTAACTCCAGAATCATGTAGTCGAATCATCCAATTCAATCCTTCTAGCTGGTATGGTTTCATCGTACCAAACTTGATATTCGACGGCTGCTGTGTGACTCTTGTATATCTTGCATCGTCCATATCTTGCAAAGTCTGCGCATCCGCTTGTTTGCTACCTTTGCCACGCTTTGAGCCTGCATCTTTCGCAGCTTTTGATCGAGACATTTCTTTACCCACAGCACTGCTACCACCCATGAGAAACGATGTAAATACATCAGATTGAGCCATAAGGAAGGCCATTTTCTTGTCTCGAGCCGATTTAGCCTCCCATTCAACATCTTGAGCCAGCGATTGTTTTACTAAATCCAATGACTTGTTTTGACGATCACGTTGCTCTTGAAAAACAGCCTCTTCTTCACGTCGTAGCGCATCGCGCTCTTCTTTGGACAAAAGCGTCTTCTTGACGTCTTCCGAAGTTTTGTCCATTTCTTCATTGTCTGCTGTCTCATGTCCATCCAATGAAGCGTCGTCGTGAACACTCTCAACCTCTTCTTTTGCCTTAGGTGTAGAGGGGGGAGTACTACTGGTGCTACTGGGGCTCACACTTCCACTACTTGGACTGCTGCTACTACTACTAGACTCTACCATATCTGCCGCAGAAAATGGAGGGACTTGACTTTTCATAAGTTTACGTGAACCCCATAAAGATGTAGTCTATGTGGCACTATGTATTCCACATAATTTTATAATCTAGTGTGAAACACGTGAAATTATATTAGTGTGTGTCTTACATAGTTTGAGTAATTGCTTTTTTCTTGTCAATGGCTGGGCATGAGTTGTCCGAGGACGATGCACGTGTACAGCGACCCGAGTACGCTCTTGATGTTGCATACTAACTCTAGAATATAGGATTTAATTGTATTACTTTTGTGCATCTTAGGCGTTTGCGTCCACGTCGATTAGAACCTGATACTTTGTCCTATCTCAAGGAAGTGACAGATATGCTGACACAGCAAGACGAGAGCTCAACCGCAGAAAATCTAAAACTGTTGCTATGGAACGTTTTGGAAGAATTAGCACCACGTGCTGCCAGTGCTGCATCCGACCGCCACGCTGGTGAATTATTGGAAGTTTGTCTGCCCAGAATGAGTGACGCACAACTCCGATTTCTGCTTCATAAAATGGCTGGCTATATGAGCCACTTGTGGACTAATCGTTACTCATCACACGTATTACAGAATATTTTGTCTCGTGCTAGTGCTGTTGTGGCTAACGAGATGAGCGGTGCTGAAGAGGATAAGGATGAGATCGACGACGAAAATGATCGAATGAAGGAGATCCCAATGATGAGCGATGTGATTGTAAATATGGTTAAAGAAGTCAAAAGTGAATGGATCTCATTGATGAACGATGTGAGTGCGAGCCATGTGCTACGCTCAGTGTTTGCAGTGCTCGCAGGCAAACCATTAGTCGCTGAGAAACGAGGCAAAAAGGGAAAACATCGTGTTGTCACATTTCAAGAAGCTAGTCCGGCTAAAGATGGATCAGAAGTTACTTTTGATGTACCAACTACATTTAATTTGATGTTTGACGAGCTACTAGCAATGGTTATCAAGTGCCCAATTCATGATTTACAAAACTTGCTGTACGACCAGAACTCGGGACCATTGATCGCTTCAGTGCTAAAACTTGCACCCTCAAAGAGTCGACGAAAGCTCGCAAAGCACATTCTTCACTGGAACGACGAACATCTGTGTGAAAGTGGATTCTTTAGCTTGGCAGCTGATGCAGTAACTAGCCATGTGTTAGAGTCCCTTTTTGAAAGCGCCAGCAACAAGTTTTTCACGAAAGTTTTTGAGCGGTGTTTGCGTGGCAAGATGCTGCAACTAGCTGAGCACGAGATTGCCAACTACGTTGTGCAACATGCTGTCAGGCGTATACGTATAAAGGCCGTTGCAGTGCATGTACTTGAGGAATTAGAACCTTCGCTGTGGACATTGCTTACCATGGGTCGTCCTGGTGTGATTTGGCGTGTGGTTGAAATGTGTGTGCAGCATAAACTGCGCCAGAAAGAAATATTTGAGGCGCTTGTGGCTGCTGTGATAAAGCAAGAAAGCAGGAAACCTGAAACAGTTCGTAAAAACTTCGTTGCATCGCTGCTCAATGTACAATTGTCGACATCCGCTACGTCAGCGAAAGTGCAGCTAAATGTTATGGGCGCCAAAATTATCGAGCAACTGCAGCAGTTTGAACCCGGCGCGTACTTGAAACCACTATATGAGGGCATCCTCTCGTTCAACGCGGTACAGCTGATGGCATTAGCGAAAGATTCGACTGGTAGTCGCTGCGTTGTAGAGCCCATTTGGGAGTCAAAAGACCCCAACACAGCTTGGGTTCGAGAACAGTTGTACCAGCGATTTGTGGGCAAGTTTGGTTCATTAGCGATGGATCGTCTAGGAGCTTTTTCGGTCATGAAATGTTATGAGGACGTTTCGCTTGAAAAAAAGGAGGCGATTGTACATGAATTGCTCGCAGTGGAGACGCAACTTAGTGGAAGCCACTTTTCGCAATTGGTGATTAACACCTGCCACCTCTTCGATTACAAACAGAATCGAGAAAAGTGGGTGGCACTCTACACAAAGCAGCAGAAAATTGTTGATTTATTTAAGGATATGGTGGAAAGTAACGAGAGTGTAGAGATGCAGAGAAAGGATAAAAAATCGAAGAAGCGCAAGTCAGCTCGATCTTCTGAGGATATTTCAATGCATCGTGACGAAGATGTTGCGAAGTGTGCAGATGTAGCCTTAATTCTGGATACGCTGCGAAGTGATGCTGCGAGCAAGAATACGAAGCTGAAAACGAGTAAAAAAAACAAGAGGCAAAGAAAAGAAGCATCGGATAGAAAGTAGTTGGTGCCACTTATAGATCTTTGATTTAATGACAAAGTGATGATGAAATTCATGTTCTTGCTAGTGTGAGTTAAAATTTTATTTTGTATCGAATGACGAAAGGTTAGCAACCCATGTGTATCACAATCAACGTGAGCATTTGATCAGTCTCCCTGCTGTAAGTTTGGAAGACTAACAAACGTAATGCAGAAATACATCGAGTAAGACAAATCACATTAAGATTCAGAGCCCTAATACCTACATCTAACTCTGTATTGATGAGTTTGCCCTACAGCTTGCGATAGCACAAACGAAACCTTCCATACTCTTCACACGGACGACGAGAAGTATCTCTTGGTGTACTGGTAGCATGAAATCGTCTCGTACTAGCATATTCAACTAACTTGCGTTTGGCAAACAGAGTCATCTCTCCAATATATGGATTCTCTTCACCTGTGAATGTACTCGCTTCTGTAGTCGCTAAAATGTCACCACTGATGGTAAATCGACCATCTCGGTTAAACTCGATACATGAACGCACATGATACGACGGAATGCTTTCTTCGAGCGACCACTTAAAGATCTCGAGAAGTATGACTACTTGACTCGATTCTTTAACCTGCATCTCACCAAAATAATCACCAAAAGCTCCTTCACTCGCACATGACGACATTCCATCTGGAAGCATTCGAAAAACTCGAGCTTTGCCATCAAGCACAAGGTGCATACAGTTCAGATGTCCAGCCAAACTTCGTGGTGCTCGAACTCGTAGTGATCTTTCTTGGAAGTCAATAGCGAGTTCAAATCGAAGAATTTGAGACATCACTTCAATTACTGAAGAGAGTGAAATATCTGGCATTCTGCTCTCACCATTGATCATAACAATTTCATTGATATTCCATTCTGCATTCTCTATATCCAAGAGCCATTCACCATTTAAATCACATTCAAATGCACTCTGAGGTGGAAAAGCTGCGTGAAAAGCTTTGTCTCGCATGGAAAGAGGTAAGATTGAAGTATCAATGAAAGTATCTCGTAACTGTGCAACAAACATACTCCAACCTGCAAACGTGTGATCACTTAAGATCTGGCGCACTAGTGGTCTACGATTATAAAAACATTCATTGGAATACACTGCTGCAATCACTTGATCTGTAACTTTGGATAAATTGCACAAAGTAGATGTAGCAAGAACCTCAACGGTTAAAGTTTCTTCTACCTCATGTAAAAATTCGACAAAACATTGACGCATCGCCTTCCTGTCCAAAACTAAGGACGCGTTTGAACAGAAAAACGCGCGCATCCATTGGCGTGTTTCGTGTGAAAAAAACCAGACAATCGTTTGAAAAGCCACTCGAAGAAGATCATTAAGCTCAGTATGAGATATAGAAATCCCAGTAGCTCGAGAATGGTCTTCAATGTGAGTGTGTTGAAGAATTAAGCGAGTAAAACAATCCGATTTGATATCTTTTGTAAAGTTTGCTACCTCGTCAAGTATTTTTAGCTTAATCACATCCACAAGCTCCTGAACAAACGAAGCATAGAGTCTTATAGGTACCCAGCTAGCAAATGCAAATAGTAACGTGATATTCTTGGAAACAGCCACAATAGGACCATTCGTATGCGCCCAAATTAATTGATCTTTTAATGGATGCACATTTTCTTCGTCCTTTGACCTTGTCCACAAAGTTCGACGTCGGCGTTTGGCCTCAATTCTATGCAGATCATCACTTGGCGAATAGAATTTTTGATTCCACTCAAAATTATCACGTTTACGAACAATTGGCACCGAAATCAAGTCATCTATCAGCGGGTAGGTATTAGGATGATGAATGGGATGTGCGTTTTCCAATGGTTTTGAACCACTGAGTGAACCTGCTTCATCTCTGCCATTTTCGTGTTTGTCTCGTTTTGAAACCTGCAAAACATGTGCTTTGCCAGCTTGCAATGCATCACCAGCTTGCAAGTCAAGCGGAGCTCGCCGGTACGAAATGACTGTGAACTCAGTTGATGACACAATGTGTAGCACTCTGTACAACTGCGTTCGGGTTTCTTGATTTGTAAATGTCGTATATCTGTCGATCGTGTCGACATCAACGCGCTCCATCACATACGCTTTAAATTGATGTTTCATTAGTCTTTGCGCCTTGTTCGCACCACTTTCCCAGTCATAATACCATCTTGGAAAAGCTTTGTTATTTAAGTGAAAGATTAAAGGTTTGTGATTCAGAGCTTCAGAATCGGACCCTTTGATTGGGACCACTAGTGCTGATGGACGATCTGGTACTCCAGCAATCCACTGACCATCCAAATTGGTATCAGTTTGAACACTACGTTGAATTTTATCCATTTCAACACACTCTCCAATGTGGAGACTCTTATCACTAACGGCTTCAAAGCGTGCAAATACTGCTAAAACTTCATTAGGCATAGACCCTGGAGATGTAGCTCCAATCGGTCGTTCCGCTAGTCGAATACTTACACTTAATGAAGAACCACAATAACTTCGTTCAATATGCTCTGGACAACAGTGTGGAAAACAACGTAGGATCTTTAAACCCTTTGTACGATTGCTCCTTCATTGAAAAAAATGCAAAATGTCAGTTGAGTGCATCTCAAATATTCGGCTTTTTGCAGTCAAGACAATGTCAAAAGAAAACTAACCGCTTATACTCGGACTGAAAAAGTTGTTCATGATCGCATTCAAAGCGAAAGAAGCTGCTGGCAGTTACGTGTAGTGGCGGCGCTGACATGTCAAAAAAGTGTGTCTGTCTGTCTTTTCGGCGTTAGAGTCCCCTAAAAGTTGTTTGATAAGGGCTGCGTTGCGTCCACGAAGTGATGGAAGACGTTTGTAGACCAATGTCGCACATAGCCGGAGCGGTGATCGCTGCCGAATGGTCCCTTCAATTTGAACGAGGTGATTTCTATAGAACAATCCTAGAAGTCGACGATCGTATGTGTGTTCCGTATTAAGGAATTAAATTACAAACACAGGAGTGACGAAAGGGATCACTAAAAAATAGCTTGTAGAAATTAATTTTTGATGCTTGTAAAATCAGTTTGAAGAATAGTTACAATTCATAGAAAAAGAAGAGATAGACAATCTCGACTATTCCAGAAAGCTTGATATGAATGAATTGAAATGCACACAAAGCACATCGTGTGTTTCGATCATATCCATAGAGATATACATGAACTGTAAAAGAACTGCATTATTAGTATGTGAGACTTTGAGCCATTAATTATAAAATTCCTACAAAACGATTCGCAAAATCTACGTGTTAGATCCAGTTTTTGAGACTACCTGGTCTAACTCAGGATGACGCAACTTATAGCTGCACTTCGAATTGCAGTAGTAAACTTTGCACCTTCTCATGATGGATACAAAGCGCTCCGTGATCTTGAAGAGCTCAACAAGTGCGTGCCGTGGTAGCTTTATTAAAGATGCACACCAGCTGTTTAAGCTGTCTCTGAACACGGAAGGCAATCACACCATATGATGCACATACTTTGCCAATGGAATTGCTATTCTGTATGTAGATTGCTCGTCAGGTAATTATGAAGGACTCGTAAATGCACTAGAGTGTTCACTCTGCGCAAAAACGACCGCTCTCCAGTAAGGAGCAGCATTTTGAATCACTTGGCTTCTTGTCTTGAAGCTGCATAGAGTTAACCCTTTTCATTCTGTAGTATCAAGCCAGGGTTGGGACTGGCTACGACAAATTGATTTCGTGGTGTCTTAACCACCAAATGACAGAGCCTCACTATCCAATGCATATGTACCCATTTGGATATTGACTAGCCGGAGTTTCCACCAGTTGCGTTATCTATCAAATGTCAGCTTGCTTATGGTGCTAAATGATCGTTGTGATGGAGAGCAAGCTGCTTTTGTACTTGCAATCAAGAAATTTATCATTTCTACATACTTATTTAGCAATGACCGATATGTCTTTTTGAAAGTTCAATACCACGACTTTGATTATGACCAAGTTTACTCATGAGATATACATAATGTTGTGCAGCTTCAAAATTTTGTCAGTAGTGCACGATATGAAAGTGAACGTTAATTTATGGAAATTTAAACCATGAATGTCTAAAAGAGTCAGCACAGCGAAATGTTCAATCGCTTGTTGATCCATTCAAGAAAATGTCGCACGCCACCAGCTGCCAATTCTTAGCTTTGCAAGGGTGAATACAAGATACGGATCTTTCAGAGCAATTGAACGACCGTATTGACGATTTTTCAATCTCAATTTCCAATCATGTATGTTTGTCTCTTCATACATGTAAAGATCTGAAGCATGGGTACACATGAATTCCTTTATGAAGTGTTTGTTCATCAGACGTGGATGAAAACAAATCGTCGGCATTTAGATGATACAGCGTGCAAATACTTCCTTAATTGAAACACGCTGAACTCCTTTGATTGAACGATACCTCAAGCATTACAGATACCGTCGCCACAGAGCAATCAAGATGGTGACGGCACTTCAACAAGCTCAAAATGCACAGAGGCGAACTAACTTACGGATAATTACAAAAGTAGGAGATCTCTGCAATGAATTAACATGGAAGGCACCAAATTCTGGTAGGGAATGTCATCTGATCTATCGGGTATACACGTGCCACTGAGCCTGTGCTGCCATGTACTTCATCCCTTCAGTGCCCATATAGACTACAGGTGCGATATTCCTTGTGCTCATATCGCTAATACAATGCATTGTACAGCTTATACTGTGCCACTTCTAAAGCACTTGCAACAGTTAGCAGAAGAAGCAGGACATTTACCGCTCGTCAGATCAACAGCTTTTCCGAATATGATGTGTATGTGATCTCCAAGCTAAAGTAGGTAAGCCCAAAACACCATCCAGCCACAGGACGAATATAATCTGCAGCTGGCCTTGTTGCGGTGTCCCGCTTAATAAATACTGTTTACAATCAGCTGAAGTTAAAACACATCGTTATATCGATGAATAGTGGAAGTTGTAGCAGCAGCACTTGGTCAAAGGTCGATGTTGTACTCACTGCTGTTAATAGAGAGATTGATCAGCATAAGTAAAATCCTTTGAGTCTGGGGAAGAAGTATTCGCGTGGAATTATATTGTATCCGTTTTAAACCTGTCAAGTTATACAAACGACGGTATATCAAATAGATCAAGACTGTTGTTGATTTATAATTACTCGTCAGGTGCATCGCAATTGTCCCTGTGTGTTGATCACTTCGAGAGACTCCGCTTATCCTAGTAAACTGGAACTTATAGTTAAAGTCATCACAGAAACGACAAATAAAAATCTGCTTTGCCACTATACGCAGACACTTAAACAAGAATTTGATTTCTAAGCCGTAGCTAAGTTGCTAGGGAGAGACCTGAATAGCAATATTGAAAGCTAAACTTCGCTCTGATTGTGACAGATTTTTAGCAATTTTGGTGTTGATGAGCGATCGTTCGATTCTTAATTTTATTCGACCGAGATGCCGAGCGAAAGCTTTCATCACGAACATACTTGACTACACATAGGAGCAATCAAGGCAAGTGCATACATGTAAGGCAAAGGTGGCTTTTCACTCCGAATGATAGGCTGAAAACGATCATCCCGAACAATACTCCATAAATCAGTGCCGAGACATCGCCATTGATGCTGGTTCGTAAGAGTTTCTTCGCAGTAAAACACCGAAATGTGAGATACCGCCTAATGATGTACAGATTGCGATTGTGTAAATTCTATGCATTCCTTGATTGTCGAATCTATGTAGCGTCTGACGAAATGAGTTCTGATTTTTCATACCCACAATCAGTTTTTCATCACCTATGCATATCCAGCTTTTTACTTATCAATAGATGCTATTAACATATGACTACTCTCTCTGATTATACGTGGCTGGTCTCACGGCTGACACAGCAACGCAAGTATTGGCTCTTGTAATAATTTATCGCACCGCTTTCTTCAGTTTGACATACATTGGGACAGCAATAACGTAACTTCATACTAACACACCGATGGTACAACTTCAGACTCAAAAGCATTGGTATTGTCGAGCACCAGTGGAATATCATCGTTAACACTCTAAAAGACACTGTAGACTACTACGTTAACTGAAGTATCATTTAAACAAAAGATTACGTCTGTGGGAATTTCTGAACAGCTCTCGTTGTCAGAGTAAATTTTTCATTTCCAGGTACAAAATTTAAACGGTTTATCAACCCACTACGTATAGGATCCTTTCATATAGTTTGAAAGAAATAATATTTTTAGGTTCATCACCGTCGAGTCCGGTTTGAAATCCTTTTCCTCAACAAGCAAAACTATTGCTTAGTTAACAGACGCGTCCAATGACAGAAGATAAGCATTGATATGCCATGAATTTGCATCATCTCATTCTTTATCGCCCGTCAAATTCGGATCGCGGGCCCAGAATCTAGTAATGCCAACAATCTTAATGCTTTTGATGATTTCGTCTTGATTGGGTAACAATTCGCAAAGACTGAAGGCACATTACTGGCAGCAACGCCTTCGACGAGACTGCAAGACATGGCTCACACATCTAGCAAAAGATAACAATGAGCTGTAGAGCTAGCGGCTTCTTCTAAACAATATCCACTCAAGCAAATTGCTGGTGTTATTTATATTACGTTACATGCTTTTGTAAATGTCTTCGTCGTAGGTCAGTAATAAATTGTCTCTATCAAAAGAAACTCAATGAACAACACTCACGATAGAGCTATTCCTTGCATATAGGCTACAGAGCTCACGATCTGTTGAGAAATGATTTAGGTACAACAATTTCTTTCTTTCTTGATAAACATTTGTAGATTAAGCTGCATTGTACTTTTGTTTAGTTTAGCGCTAGTTAATGTAAGTGGAGCATCAGAAAAAACGGTGCCTGGATATCATCATCGTCTATTGTGTTAATCAATTAGCCGATTACAGTCTGCTTACGATAACAGGACCCACCATATAAGGGCAAATTCTATCGAACCAAGAAACCCAAAGCAAAACTACATCATAAAAAATCCAAGTATAACAAAACGGCCGGACGTTATTCGAGCACATGGGCCTAAGTGCAATGGATGTGTGTCTCGAAACGCAGTTCCAGAAGCATGCATCAGAAACGCGAGTCACTTTCATTCGCATAATGACGCGCTGA